TCTGCATTGCTCTTTGAATATGAATTGTTAATATTAGTAAAGCAAGTTGGGAGTAAGTGTCACAGACATGCAGAGAAAACAAAATAAGATTTTTAGTAACAAGGTTCTAAATAGGTATAAGGAATATCTACCAATCATTATGATTATATCTGGAGAAATGTCTACCCATTATAAGCAAATACTTCAGAAATACACAAAATTCAAAAGGAGAATACAATGTGTTTCATTAATTAGAATTAGTTTAGCACATTTTATGGTCTTATTCATTGTCAATATATATAACACCATATTTTTTACACATAATTTTCTAAGGTAGCACTGTTGAATATATTAGAATATTTTAACCTTAAAATATTAAGTGGGAGTGGCTTGCGGTCTCTTACATCTTACTATTTTTATTCCTAGTGTCTCAATTCTGAAATCTGCAAAATGGACAATATTCACTTATAGAACTGCTTTTTCAAGAAAAAATAATTATCCTGTTCAGTCACATGTAATATTGAGAGTGAAAATCATATGCATTTATGCAGTACAGCATCTAGTTAATCACAAGTAGCTTCCAGAAGGAATATTACCAGCTGCCTTGCTTGCCAAAAATGTGACTTCTGAGGTCCTGCCGGAAACCCTACCCAGTCCTAGCTATTACTGTTTAGGACCCAGGGAATGAAGATTGAGTCATTTATTCATTCTCTCTCTTTCTCTGTCTCTCTCCTGTTCACTGTTTTGCTGCTTTTCAAATAGTTGCATAACTCTTAGGAAAGATTTATCTCCTATAAATAGTAAATATGTATATCAATTTCTTTGATAAAAAATAAATAAAAATTTCAACTGCAAATATATTATTTTGTCATCTGCTAAATCTGCAAAATTGGTTTCCTAGCCCCATTTGTTGTCCTCCCTTTTGTGAAGCAGTCACTTGTCTATCACTTGGAAGTTTAAAGCAGTGCAAACCTAAGACATTGCACCATTTTTTCTTTTAAGATTTATTATTATTATCACTATTATCATCATTTCCTTACAATGAGGTTCCATAGACTCTGGGGTTTCTCTCCTCCTCTCCCCAAATCCCCTCCCCTCACTGATTTCCCCAATACTACTGCAGTAGTTCAGTTCTTCATAAACAGTCACATGTGCATCACTCCATTATTTAAGTGTAACCTTACACTGACGCTATGCACAATGGCACAGGGTTCAGCATCCTGCTGTCAAGACATATTTAACAGTTCCTTTGGGGCTTCATCTTTGGTTTGGAGGTAGAAATGCATACTATATTGCATCTTTGCAACTGATTATGATAGTTTCTGTTAAAAAGTTAATATACTTCCCCTTAAATGAAAAGTTGTAAACCAAAATCAGCAAGATTTATTTATTTTCATTGGAATAGCAGATTTACAGATAGAAGGAGAGACAAAGAGAAAGATTTCCCATTAGCTAATTCATTGCTGAAGTGGCTGCATTAGTCGGAGCTGAACTAATGTGAAGGCAAGAGCCAGGAACCTCTTCCAGGTTTACCTGGAGTACAGCATTCCAAGGACTGGGGCCATTCTCCAGTTTTCCCAGGTCACAGGCAGGGGTATGGATGGGAACTGGAGCAGCTGGGACGTGAACCAGAGCACATACGGGATGCTTGCATTTGGAGGTGGAGCATTTGCTAATCTAGTCATCGTGCCAAACACTTGACTTTAAATCAGAATCCCACTGATTTGGGGTCAGTGTTGTGGCACATGTATTAAGCCGCATATGTATTAAAACCATCTATTACAGGTGCTAGTTGAAATCTCAGCTGTTCCAAGTTCAATTCATTTAATGCTCCTATGTTCCTAGGAAGGTAGTGGATGGTCCCAGTGCTTGGGCCCCTGTGCGCACGCCCATATCTGGCCTCTGAGGCTAAATGGAGAATGAACCAGCACATGAAGTTTGATCTTAATCTCTTTCTGCAACTCTGCCTTTCAAATAAATAAATAAATATTTAAACAAAAACTCCCTTATAAGCACCACAACTACCTTTATCGTAGCTTATGTTTGACGAGGACATCCACTCCATTATTTTGTATGCTAGCACAAAACATCAATACTACCATAGTTAGTAAACAGTAATTAAATTAGTTCTGGAGCAAGTCTCACCATTGAAAGTGTTATTAACCCCTGAAAACATTCCTGTTAGAACAAATACTGTTTAATTACAGAGATTTCTGTATTTCATCCATTAACATTGCAAAAAAATATTGCCCATCATGGTTGACTTCCTTTGGAATTTTCATATTTGTTTATTAACAAATAGCATTATGATTGGTCTGAATATATAAGTTCAATGAGAAAACAGCTTGAGAATTTGCCTCCAAGGCATCCCAGTCTACTGTGTGAAGTATACAAATTTTTCAAGGGTTTGCAGACATTTTCTATAAATATTCAACTTTGTAGGTCATTTGCCCTATGTTGCAACTGCTGAGGTCTGTCATTGCAACATGAAAACAGTCCATAATACATAAATGAATGAACAGGGCCGTGTTTCAGTAAAACATCATTCGTAGTCACGTAAATTTGAATCTAGTGTAACAACCAGAGGTATTCGATAAAAAAAAAAATCTTCTTTTGAAATTTCCAACAAAGTAAATAGGGAAAAAGAAAGGAAATGCAAAACTTACCTTAGCATCTAGACAGTACAATCTGGATTTAACACAAACTATAAATTACTCCTGTTCTAAACTACACATTGAAATTTACCGAGTAATTTAGTATTAAAACAACAGTCATATTTCTCATAAATACACATAAGGCAGAAGCAGGGCAGGTAATTAGAGTGACTTGCTAGTTTTAGATTTTGCATTAAATTGAGTTTCCATCCATGGAGCCAATGTATGTATTCCAAGGACAGGTAAGCATATGACACAGATTACAAGAAGCATGGGACAGTTCAAATAAATTATTATTTTTATGGAATTCATTCACCTTTGTTTAACTTTAAAAAATGAAAAATAGACTAGTGTTTAAATGATTTTTGGAAAAGAGGTAATGCAATGTTTTACCTTACAGTGACTAATGATTAAATAATTTGGCCCAGGAAAGAATGAATTACTTCATAATAAATGTGTAATTATATTTCCCATATCCTAAGTTTTCAATTGCTTTAAAATTTTTAACAAATGATAGTCTGTGAGATGTATTCCTATGATAATTTGGACATTTTATTTCTAGAAGCCATTCTATTTTTTGAAATATAATATGGATTATATATATATATATGGATATTATATATATATTTCAGAGTGATAAAGGCAAGGAAAGAGGCATGTCAGCCTTTCACTTTTTCCCTTTGTTATCCAGAGGATTTAAGAACTCATAATTACTTAGTCCAAAATATTTGAAAAAATAAAAACACAACTCTTGGGCCTGCGCAGTTGCCTCGTGGCTAAAGTGCTTGCCTGGCATCTGCTAGGATCCCATATGGGCACAAGTTCATATCCCAGCTGCTCCACTTCCCACCCAGTTCCCTGCTTATGACCTGGGAAAGCAGTCGGGTTGGCCCAAAGCCTTGGGATCCGGCACCCACATAGGTACCCTGAAGAAGCTTCTGGCTTCTGGCTTTAGATCAGCTCAGCTCTGGATTGTGTGGCTACTTGGGAAGTGAGTCAGTGGATGGAAACTCTTTCTCTCTGTCTCTCCCTCTCTCTGTAAATGTGATTTTCAAATAAATTAATTAATCATAAAAAAATATGATTCAACCTAACATATACAGACTCTTTTTCTTGTCAGAATTCCACTAAAATATAAATACTATTCACACAAAATCAATGTTGTGTTAGGTATAGCACATAATTTAGAGATGATTTAATGTATATAATAATATGTATAGGATATATTCAGGCAAGTTTCTGTTCCCTAAGTTAAAATATAACAATGATTTTTCGTCTTGGTTTATTCCAAGGGGAGAATTAAAGAAAATAATACCCCCTTTGAAACATTTTAAGGTTGTAGAGAAGACATCTGAATCTCATATAAAAATAATTCTCTAGGCTATTCAATACACAATGCACTGAACAGGAAGCCTTTGTTTCTTTTTAATATGCACATGCAGACCTGATTGAATTATTTTAGTTTTCTCTCCTGACCCATGGAGTCTGTGTTGTGAGGAAATGCAGCTGCAGCTCAGCCAGTGTTGGACAAGAGATGGAGCAGGTGGCTTGTGAGCTGCCTGCCCACACAGAAGGGAGACACCGTGACTTGACTGGAGTGTCTTTTTTGTTTTTAGTACTAACAGCGCTAAAATGAGAATACTTAGTCAGTGGGAAAAATGGAAGTTGCGGAGACTGTAGTTTGATCCTTTCTGGTTCTCCCATAGCTACTGAACAGCACCAAGTGTACTGCTTGCTGGGATCAGCAAGAGCCAAGAGCGTGGCCTCTCCTCTCCCTGCGCCACGCTGGACTTACTTCACTGGCCATCAACTGCCCTTGTTTCTGAGCCCACAGTTCTTGAAGGGCATAACAAGCGATTTAATAATCTCTAGTTTTGAGAGACAGAAAACTTGTTAGAAAATACTACCTACTTGACAATTTCATTCTTTTGTAACTTTGACAAAGCCTTGTGCTACAGAACCTATTTAATCTATACTAAAAACATACCAATATTTTAACCAAACTTAATTTGGGGGGTTGGGAAAACATGGCTTGCATTTTCAAAAGCTGTGTCATGAATCCATCTTTGTAACAACTAAGATAGTTCATGTTACAGTATACTTTTTTTGACCTCATGCCGTTAGTGGTAGATCAAAATATGTTTCAATATGTGACATGATAGACATGGAATTACTCATGCATTCAAACCAATGTTCAGGACAAAGAGATGCTATTCTTCAGTATCAATATCTTGAATTACCCAGTGCAAATAGATTTCTATAACATAACTCAGTTCATTCTTCACATCGTTTTAAATGCTAAGCCAATTCTGTTCACATCTCACCCCACACTTTACCAAGAGAAGAGTAAATCCAGGCACAACATACCTTTCCAACGTACTGGGGATCTGGTCCCATATGTTCTTCTAAAACAAAGAACTGATTCCACACCCATCCCCTCTTGGGACGATGGTGGACTTCGGTTTCCCCTTCGATGTGTTTGGTTTGGTTTTTGGTCCCCTTGATGGAGTTATGGTGAGCAGTTCCATGACACCGCTGCACAAAACAGAGACATACCAGCACTGGGCAGATGCAAGATGTGCTCGTAATTCTCATTGTAAGACAACTTTCCAGTTCTCAGTTCTCCCTCGTTTCCTTGTCAGCTACAAATGCTTAGTGATTCCCCGAGGGAGAAGCCAAAGCATCTTCTGGAAGGACAATCCAAAGTAAATTGTGTAGCGCGTCCATGATTTCACTGCCCATCAGGGAAAGGTCAGACCATATTTACATCCTGAAATACTTGGAGAACCGAAACTGTAGTTTTCTGATTCCAAGTCTTCACAGTAGGTGAACACAGGCAACCATTTTCTTCCTAATAGGAACAGAGAAAATTATATGCTTTACAAAACACAGTAATTTTAACTATTTCATCTGATTGCAAATTATATTTTTCTGCAGTGGGATGCTGTTAAGCAAAGAATGTATGCAAACACATATGCCATACACATTTTAACATGGACTCCTTTATTTGTGCTGTTAAATCTCAAATATAGATAGATAATCTAGTTTGTGCCTAGGTATAAATTCACTGCGTGTGCCTCAGATTATTTACACGGTATATGTGATTAACTGAACATCAACAAAATTTTTCTAAGATCTGAAAAATTGCCACAGAACATCACAGCAATCAAACAGCATCATAAAATGGCTGTAAGTAAAATACAAGAAATACCAGAAGCAAGGAAACACTAAGGTCCACAGCCTGAATATGTTTCCTTGCTTTGGGAAAGGAGTGGAAAACTTATTGGAAAATCTCAGTATGAACAAAAACAGAATCTGTCAGAATCATAGCTTTGTGAGAGTTTTCATATATTCTTCCATTGGAACACTAATATGAATTTTATGCAAAGGAAAGGCACATTCTACATCATGGAGAAAACATGACTAGGTTTTACTTCTAGAGCACATAATTTTAGCCATTGTGTAAAGAAAAATAAAAAAAAACACTAATGACAAAAAGTGCACAAGGCAATGCTTTGATTTTCTAATTAAATGGCAATGGCTTGAACATTTCTTTTTTATGCAGTTGGACAACAAATCAAGACTTGAGTGACAGATCTCAATACAAATGAGGTGATTTTGTACAAATAAGGAAAACCTTGAAATCATCAAATCCTAAACACCAAGAAATTTAACATATCAAATTTTCTGTTTTAATATTTATGTATATGTTTGAATAATTACATTGATTTTTAAATGGCAATTCATTCTAGTAAGAATTATTTGATGAATCATCTTATCATTGCATACTATTCACCCCTATGAGGAAGACATTAAAAAGTATAGAAATATACCATGTTTATGGACGGGCAGAATCAATATAATCAAAATGTGCATATTACCAAAAGTAATGCACAGACTCAACGTGATTCCCATTAAAATACTAGGAGCATTCCTAGTAGAGTTGGAGCAAAAATGATACAAAAGTTCTTCTGGAAACACAAGAAACCACAAATACCCATAGCTGTCTTGAAGAATAAGAATTTACCTGGAGGGATCACGATCCTAGAACTCAGAACATATTATAGGTGGGTAGTAATCAAATCAGCTTGGTGCTGGTGCAGTAACAGAGAAGACTGATGGAGCAGAATGGAAACTTCAGAAGAGAGCCCATAGATGCAATCTTTGACATGCGAACAGAAAACAACCAAGAGAAGAAAGACGGCCTCTTCTACAAACACTGATGGAAAACTTGGATAGCAGCCTTCAGAAACAAGAAACAAGACCCTCGCTTTTGGTGATACACAAAGATCAAATCTAAGTGGATAAAAGATCTAAACTTACACCCAGAATCCACAGAATTGCTACAACAAAATGTAGGAAACACTCTACAAGAAATAGGAGCATGCAAAGACTTCCTCGGAAAAGCATCAGAAGCAAAGGTAGTCAAGACCAGAATAAACAAATGGGACTACATCAAACTAAGAAGCTTCTGCACAATTACAAAGTAAAAAAGCAATCGATAGAGTAGGTGAAAATCTGTGCATATTACACAGCAGACAGGGAACTAAAATCCAGGATTTATAAAAACTCCAAAACTACCATAACAACAACAGCAGCAAAAAGTCAAGAAATGGGAGCAGGAGATGAACAGACATTTTTCAAAGGAACAGGTTTAAATGGCTAACACACATACAGACATATGAAAAAATTGCTCATGCTCCCTTGTAATTGGAGAAATTCAATTAAAAAACTACACTGAGATTCCACTTCACTCCAGTGAGGATGGCTGACATCCAGAAAGCTACCATCAACACCTGCTGGCTAGGATGTGGGGGAAAAGGTGCCCTCCTCCCCTGCTGGTGGGACTTCAGAAGGGGGCAGCCACTCTGGAAGCCATTATGAGGGATGCTCAGACAAATGAACATTCACTGATCGTAAAATGCAGCAATCCCACTTCTGGGAATATATCCAATAGATCTGATATCATACACACAGATGAGAAAGCAATCTGCACCCCTGTATTCTTTGCAGTACAATCAACAGTCACAAAAATATGGAAACAACCTAGATGCCCATTGAAGACAGCCAGATAAAGAAACTGCCGTATATCTATTCTGTGAACTACTCTTCTGCTATTAAAAAGGAGTCCATCATGCTAAGTGAAATGAGTCAATCTCAAAAGGACAACTATCATATGTTCATTCTAATATAAGACAATTTCCATTGAAATACAAAACAACAACAACAACAAACCACAGGTGAATAAACACACATACTACCCTCACAAACAAAGGATATACTGGAGACCAGAATATCAGGATTCAAAGAAAATCAACAGAATGCAACTCTACTGTTGAATAAAAGTAGATTCCCAAATAAAACTACTAAATATATATAGACAACAGAAAGTTAGGATTTCTACTATTGTCTATGCCAACAGTGTCGTGACCGATGCCAAGAGCAGAAATCTAGCGTCATTCCTCCTTCATCTCTGATTTTCAGCATCTCTTGATGCGCCCGCCATTAATATGGCTGAGTGGTTGCTTTGTACATCTTACGCGATGGTTCTTTCTTGTTTCAATTTGGAATTATTAATGTATTAATGTTTTAATCCAACTATTAATGTATTTAGGGGATGCCTAATAGAAGTGCAGCAGATACTGACACGTCCAGTTGAGGAGCCACAGTGCTTTATGCATCTCTGCATGGAGATCAAGGACGAACTCCCAGCGGAGCTCTTGAATATACGCCCGCAGTAGAATGCTGGAGTCTCCGACACTTTCCATTCTTACAATGTTAGGAAACACTTCAATCACAGAGTCATGGATTTATGACTGTTCTTGAAGGACCACCCATTGTAAAACTGGGGGGGGGGGATTGGAAGCAGGGAGGGATTTGTGGTTGGGAGGGAAATCCCAATGCCTATTGAATTGTACCATGAAACGATACTTTAAAAATTCACCCCTATGAATTAGCACAAAGAGAAATGAATATCTGACTGGATTATAATGATTATGTGATGATATAAATCATGTACCATCATGATTCTTTTATATAAAACAGAAAAGATGCTCATAGAATACTGATGATGACAATCTCACGGGAATCCACAACAGGGTATTTTTGCTTATCAGTGTCTCTTTGCATAAATTAGAGAAATGAATGTTTACTTTAAGAGCATTACAAGAAGGGCATAAATTTAAGTTTGGAATTTAACATCTGACAAATGTAAAATTTAAATTTTAAAATATTTTGTGAAAGTAAACGTATCTTTCACTATTTTCAAATAAAGTGTTGAAAATACTCCTCCAGCACAAAAGCGAGCAATGTGATTCCAGTTCCAACTTGATAAGAGCACTGGGAAGACATTTAGATTCGTTCTAGATTCTTTTTTGAGAAGTTACATTCAAGCTGAACTTAAGTAAACAGATAATTTTTATAAGTTAAAAATGTCCTTATATACTAAAATTGGTGCTGGAATAATTGCTTGCAACATGCTTTCCAATCTGACTAACAAATTAGTGTTGCAGACTTGGTATCATTTTTATTTGCTAAATCATTCTTAATGTTCATGTCATGAATTTCAAACAAGAAAACCTTATCTAGTTATATTTTTTGGAAGCCAAGTTGATGAATATATAGAAGGCGTTGTTTTTTTTTTCCTCAATAATCTCACACCATTTGGTGAGATTTTCAAATGAAATTAACATCTTTGCCCCTTACACTAAGTTGTTTAACAAAGCATAATTCATGAGCAGAAGGTGCAGAAAGTGGCTTCTTAGACGCATTACAGATATGTACAATGAGTGTTTTCTTTACAGTGTTCATCTCCTGTGTTATTCAAAGAATACATTAGTGTATTTTATGCTATAAAAGCATTTTATGTTTATGAATCAATTATGATGATTCAATACAGTGAAATGTTTCGCTAATGACAAGCACAGTAAGTTGCATTGGATTAACCTAGGAATATGCACTTTTATGTATGCATGAAATAAACCTGTTTTAAACAATCATAACTGTGGTTCTTTGGAAGAAAAAAAATCCAAAGAAATAAGCAGTACTTTCTCCAATTTGATTTTTCCACTGGAAATATAAATTTAACTTTCATTGAGATAATGATGAAAACAGCACAGAGGCGTGTCCCGACTCCTTCTGGTTACAGGCCATTCCTCTGAGTCTGCCTTCAAAGCTTTTGCTGCTTAACTCCACTTAGTTAAACCTATTCTCCAAGGGCTAGATTAAAGGCTACTTTTTCTTAAGGATTTTGCTGTCTGGGGAGAAAATTCACCTTGAGTCCTCCATGTTTCTGCACATGATATGAGCAAGAAGCTTTGCCAGTTTTGTTTCATAATCTTTGCAAGGGTGCTTGTAAAGCCAGTGAGAAAATCCGCTTTAAGAGCAGAAGCACATTTGTTTTCTGACTGGATTATTTAGATAACATCTTTCTCGTGGGCAAAGGTTAGGAAGGTGTGCTCACAGAGTCCAAAGCCAAAGGTTCCTTAGCTGTAGTCTGCACACGTGTGTGTGTGTGTGTGGGTGTGTGTGTGTGTGTGTGATAGAGAGAGAGAGATAGAGACTCATGACCTGCCTGCTTCCTGGGACCTTATGTAGTACAGAGACCCATGAGAATTTATACTCCTTGCTGTTCTGCAGGTATTAAAGTACTTTGTTTCTTTGTGACAGCATCAAAAACTGTGGGCGCCTTACACAGCAGCTTGCAAGTAGGGAAAACCTCAAACCCTTCATTGGAATGTCTAGGCATCATCATTCAATGGGTTTGCTTGTTCCCATAAATCATCATAATATTCCTCTAATCTTTTTCTTCCTGCAATAGACCAGCATTCTAATTACTAAGGTAGGTGT